GGAAGCAGCAGTCAAGACATCAGACAATGTATAGCACTGGGTAAGTCGGCTGCAAAGGACCTCTTTCAAGTGCTGAAGAGCAAAAAATGTCTCCTTGAGGTATGCTTGATGCAATCCATGGTATTTTCAATTGCCCCATATGCATGTGACAGCTGGATAATGAGTAAGGAAGACTGAAGAAGAGTTGATGTTTTTGAGTTGTGCTGGCAAAGTGTTCTGAGAATACCATGGACTGCTAAAAGAACTAACAAATCTGTCCTGCAGGAAGTGCAGCCAGAATGCTCCTTGGAAGCAAGAATGGCCAAACTTCGTCTCACCTGCTTTGATCATGTTGTCAGAAGGCACCATTCCCTAGAGAAGGATGTCATGCTTGGTAAGGTGGAGGGTCAAAGAAAGAAGGGAAAGCCCTCAATAAGATGGACTGACACAGTGGCTGTGGCAATGGGCTCAAGTATAGCAAGGACTGTGGCGCTGGCATAGGACTGGGCAGTGTTTCATTCTGCTGTGCATAGGGTCACTGAGTCGGAGACGACTCAACAGCACCTAACAACAACAACAACAACTCACAAGAAGGATGGACACAGTGGCTGCAACGATGGGCTCAAACATGGCATGATTGTGACATTTGCACAGGACTGGACAGGGTTTCATTCTGTAGTACATAGTGTTGCTGTGAGTGGGAACCGAAAAATGTCTTTCATGAAAAATATTCTTGGCTGAGGACATGGCTTCATTCCTCTTTAGTTGCTCTGCTAATCCTACAACACATCCAATTCACCGTGTGGCAGCATATGGATAAAAAATGAGGAGGTACATGACCCTGAACCCAGAAGAACTAGATGGTGCCCAGCTATCACTGTCAACCACTTGGAAAGGGATCAGTATAGGAGATCCTGGATAGAGTGGGAGAAAAATGTGGAACAAAACTCAAAATCATAAAAAAAAGGACTAGGCTTACTGGTCTGATAGAGCCTGGTGAAACTTGTGAGACTATGGCCCCTAGTCATCCTTCAGGCCTAGAATCGCACTCACTCCTGTGGCTTCCAGCCAAACAATAGACAGGTATAGAATGTGAACATTTACTACACCAGGTAGGTACACTCTCTAGAACAGTCAACCATGGGGGCTCAGCAGGGCAGAATTTGCACAGGGGGATATAGTTCAGAGGACAGGAATGCATAGGAAAGAGGGACATGGGGAAAAGGTAACCACAGGGAGGAAGTGGGAAGAGAGTTGTTACATGATGAGGATTGCAATCAATGTCATGAAACAAAATGTGTATGAACTGTCGTATGGAAAATGAATTTACTCTATAAACTTTCACCAAATCACACTAATAATAATAATAATAATAAAGTAGGAAGGAGACCTTCTCCAGTGGGTCAGTTATTAAATATGAGTAGAGGTAGGGGAGAAGAGGTCAAAGATGCACTTTCTCAATGGGGACTTAAAAACCTGTGGGACCTAAAATGCCTCTAACTACTCACTTCTCATTCTAGGCTATGCCCATGAACACTAAACCAAACCCACTGCCATCTAATCAATTCTGACTCATATTGACCCACACAGGGTTTCCAAGGCTGTAAATCTTTATGGAAACAGACTGCATCATCTTTCCTTTGCAGAGCAGCTGGTGGGAGGAACCAGTGACTTTTTGGTTAGCAGCCCACTGCCTTAATCACAGTGTGACCAGAGCTCCTGCCATGAAGACAGTCTCTCCTTTTCCTGGCTTCTGTTTATTTGTAATCATTTTAGAAAATGATGGATGAAAAGGGAGGTAAAATTTGGAGAGAAGTCTAAACACAAAGGACAAATTAGGAAAAAAAATATTTATAGCTCATAACACAAATATATAATTTCCCTAAATTTCAAAAAATGAAACAAACAAACCATCTCACTGCCACCATGTTGATTCTGACTCATAGGGATCCTACAGTACAGAGTAGAACTGCCCCATAGGGTTTCCAAGTCTGTAAATCTTTACAGGAGGAGACTGCCTCGCCTTTCTCCTGAAGCTCTCCTCAAGCTGCTGGGCTTAAACCACCAACCTTTTTTTTTTTTTTTTTGTCAGCCAAATGCCTTAAACACTGTACCACCACAGCTCCTTCTAATGTTTAAGAGCCCCTCCAAGTCAGTAAGAAAAGAAGAATGGAAAATGGGCAAAGAACAAAAATAAGGCAAGGCACAGGAAAGAAACTAGAAATAGTTCTTAAACATTTGATACAATGCTCCACCTCACTTACAATAAGAAAAATACAAATTAAAAAAGTAATTTTTTAACCCATCCATTTGGCAAAAATAAACTTTGACAACACACTTGGTGAGAGTATAAGGTAATAATGCACTCTGATACATTGTTGGTGTGCTGTGCTACTAACTGAATGGTTGGCACTAATGTACACTGAAGGCTCTTTAGTTTTTGATCTTCATCTGTAAGTGCTTCAAGTTTTTGCTTTCAGCAAGCATGGCTGTGTCATCTGCATATAGCAGGTTGTTAGTCAGTTTTCCTCCAATCCTGATGCTGCATTCTTCTTCATCTAGTTCAACTGCCTGTTAGTCTATGCTCAGATTCCTCATGAGCACAATCAACTGTTCTGGAATTCCCATTCTTTAAAATGTTACCTATAATTTGCTTGATCCATATGGTTGAATGCCTCTGCATATATTGCACACAAAAGCTGTACAATGAAAAAGGAACACTGAAGAAGAATTGATGCATTTGAATTATGATGTTGGCAAAGAATACTGATTATACTATTGACTACCAGAAGAACGAACCAATCTGTCTTAGAAGTACAAACAGAATGCTCCTTAGGAGTAAGGATGGAAAGACTTAGTTTCACTTACTTCAGACATGTTATCAGGAGGAACCAATCCCTGGAGGACATCATGCGCCCGGCAAACTGGAGGGTCATCAAAAAAGAGGAAGGCCCTTAACAAGATGAAATGACACAGTGGTTATAACAATTGGGGTCACACATACCTAGTATTGTGAAGATGGCACGGGACTGGGTGGTGTTTCGTTCTGTTGTACATAGGGTTACTAGGAGTTGGAATCAACTCAATGTCACCTAAGAACACCAACAACATAGATCTATATAATAGTACACAGTAACTGGTATATTAATTTACATAAATATTATATTGTTTATTATATACTAAATATAGTCCTAGTTTTATACACAATTGGCAGCATATTATATATATCAATGACATATATGTAAATGGATGTATTTGCTTGTATATTCTTGACAATTTCTGGGTGAATAATCAGGAAACTGGTTACACTGGTTATCTCTGGGCTTGGTTTGGTGTTTCTTCTTCTTTTTTTTTTTTTGCTTGGCAATTTTGCAGCTGTGGTGTGTCTTTGGAAGAAACAATTTTTTTCTGATGGCCTTGCTACTGGCGCTGTGACTATTAGGTACATCACAGGCTGATGATGAATAGCGCTCACTTTTGCTGCCACAGTCCTGCATTGATTTTTACCATCTTCTATCTGAATGAGTTACCTGTAAAAAATTAAACAGATTTTAAAGTAAATAAGATAAAAATAAACTTTCTAAAAAAAAAAAAAATTATGAAGGAAACCAACTGAACCTGGATCACTAGTTTTCTCAACAATTACAAGGTTTATTTGGCAAACAAGAAAAGTCTAATTTTGTTTTGTTTTTTTCTTTTGAGTAGACTTGTTTCCTTCAAAAATCAAATGTGAAGAAGCTACCGCATTCAGAATACAAAGGAAAAGTACCCCTAAGTGGCTGTTGAAGCATGGGGGAATCGTGTACGGAAGTGTCTTAGTCGCGTCCCCAGGAAGGGGTTTGGGGTACTTGGCTCTTGCATTTTTTCTTTCAATTTTGGTTACCCTTTCCTGGGAGGCTAATCCTAAGATTACACAGGGCAAAAACATATATTGCACTCAATAACCTTCAATAGCGGTTTGCGGTGGAGAGGACAATGTTTAAGGTTAACAGAAACCTTGGGCAAGTTACTCCCCATCTTTAACCGTAACAACATGAAAAGATTGCAGATTCTCTCTGAAACCTTGGCCCTAGTTCCCAAGATCAACCATGACAGCTCTCACCCTACTCCCTCATGTTGTTAAGACGCCGGTAAAGCATTCCAAACAGCACGAAAGGTGTGGGGTCGGATATTTAAATATTCCCGGTCTTCCTCAGGCAGCCTTTAGTTAGGGAGCTCTGGTGGCGCAGTGTCTAAGGCATTTGACTGCTATACAAAAAGCTTGGCGGTTCACACCCACCATCCACTCCTCGGAAAGTTGTTGTTGTTATGTGCTGTTGAGTTGGACCCGACTAATAGCGACCCCTCCTTGGGTTTTCGAGGCAGTATCACTACGGAAGTAGATTGCCCAACCTTCTTTCCAAGGAGTGGCTGGTGGGTTTGAACCGCCGGCCTTCTGGTTAGCAGTCAAATGCCTTAGGCACTACGCTACCAGAGCTCCTCGGAAAGAGGACTGGGCAATCTCCTTCCGTAAAAATATGGCCTTGCAAACCCAAGCAGGGATGACTGTGAGTCCCAGTCGACTGGACGGTAGTGAGAGTGAATGAGCCTTTAGTTAACAGTTGGTGTTTTTTCAGATATTTTCTAGGCAGAGACAATACCTCCTTTAAACATACACTGAAAAACCAGACACTCTGTATATTCTAATCTGTAACTTCAGCTAGTATGTCTGGGGAAAATTACAAGTTTTTACACGCTCTCTCTGGACCTATTTCTTCCAAAGCCGGAGTCTCACTTCCAGTCCTCACTATAAATCCTCATCCGACGTATTCTTAACCCCTGTGACGTCCTTGGTCTCTGTGGCTGCCAAAGAAACACATTTCACCACTTTCACTGTGCGAGTGCCTCCTTGCAGTAGCACTGCACAGTCTCCTCAGACCGCCTTCGACCGGGGACGGACGAGTGCGAGACAATACTTCCGCCTCGCAAACCGACTTCCCTTCAGCCTAGAATCTAGTTTGGACCAGAATTAGGCGCGCAGTGATGACGACATCAGGCTGGCGGCGGCTGGGCTGCTGCAGCGGTAGCGGCTCCGGCTCGGAAACAGGAAGGGCTTCCGGAGCTGCCGGCCTGACCGCTGAGAGCTGCTGTCATGGCGGCCGCTCTTTGGGGCTGGTTCTCCGTCCTTTTGCTACTGCTACTAGGGGATGTTCAGAGCTCGGAAGTGGCTGGAGCTGTTACCGAGGGATCAGGAGGAAGTGGGGTCGGCGTAGGAGATCGCTTCAAGATTGAGGGGCGTGCAGTTGTCCCAGGGGTGAAGCCTCAGGACTGGATCTCTGCGGCCCGAGTGCTCGTAGATGGAGAAGAGCACGTCGGCTTCCTTAAGTGAGCATCCTGAGGGCAGCGGGAAAGCGGTTACGATAGAGGCTGCAGGGCGATTCCGGTAGGAGAGCTAAGTGTCGGAACTCGCCGACGTCGCTGTCGGAGGGTGGAGTGGTTGCCGCTACCCATTTATGTCAAGAGACCTTGAGAGGCAGTGGGACGCCTTCCCCTCACGATCTAAGCAATGAGAATGGCAGGTACTCACCCAGAGCTACAGCAGTGGGGTTATTTACAATCCCATTTAGGCCTTTTATGGGAATAACAGTTCCTGAGCCTGGGGACAGATGGAGTTATTTGCCTCTTGGTTTTACATTTCATTTGTTTTTCCAGTAACCTGGCTTTTTTTTTTTTTTCACTCCGAAAAACGTAGTCCTTCGGTAGCTTGATGTTGTGCAGAGAGATGCTGAACAAGTGGGAATTAGCAAAGCCCAAAGGGATTCTTGTGATGACATAGACTGGGAAGCTAATATCGCAGCTTCTAAAATTAATGGGCCCTAAAGTCCCTAATCAAAGCACCTTTTTTAGCTTCAGGTGGGATTGTTCTTTTTTTTTAATACCTGAATTAATTGAGGGATTTACCACATCACACTTGGCATTTGTGTGAGACTGGAGTTTTTCTGCATTGCTTCTACACACTATCCTTTTTAGTTGTTAGTAGAAATAAGGTTTCAGCCTACATACATAAAAAGATATGTTGAATTTGTAAGCACTCAGGTTTTGCAGCAGCGCGCTTCTCGCATAAGTATAGTACTATAAATCTTTCCATTGTTGCTTGAGAAGTGAAACTACAAGCTGAAAGAACATTTAGGAAAAGAAGTATTTCTTTTATGGGCTTTCTGCCATCAAGGAGTATCTGAAAACTTTGGGGATGTAATCCTGAATCTGATTTGCAAATTTGTTGAGGCCATCCAGGTGCTCTTGAATGAAAGTTTCAGCTATGATATATAAAAAAATGATAAGAAATTTGCAACCATTATTTTAATGGTTCCTGTCGTTAATGGTCTGGCTTTAGGGCTTTCTTAAGGTTTCACCCTAATTAATCATCCTTTGTAATAAAGCTTTCATGATGCTTTTGAAAATTAGTCTTAATTGACAGTTTGACCTCTCTTTTCTTTTCTGCAAAATACAATTCATTTTTTTAAAATTATTTTTTTTATCTTAAAAATAATATGTAAGTAATTTGTTTATTTAGTGTCCTTGGGAAGTGCAAATGGTTAATGCATTAGACTGCTAATGGAAAGGTTGGAGGTTCTGGTCAACCCAGAGGTGCCTTGGAAGAAAGTCATAGTGATATGCTTCTAAAAAATCAGCCCTTGAAAACTACAAGAAGTACAGTTCTACTCTGATGGTTTTCCTGAGTGGGAATCAGCTGATGGAAACTGGGAGTGGTGGTGGAATGTGTTTATTGAAGAAAATGTAAAGAAAGTGGAAATAACAATCCTTAACATTTTATTCTACCTTGTTTTAATTGTTGTTGTTGTTATGTGTCATCAAGTTGGCCCCAACTCATAGCAACCCCTCCTTGGGTTTCCGAGCTCTGGTAGCATAGTGGCTAAGACACTTGCCTGCTAACCAGACGGCTGGCGGTTCAAACCCACCAGCCACTCCTCGGAAGGAAGGTTGGGCAATCCTACTTCCGTAGTTGATACTGCCTCGGAAACCCAAGGAGGGGTCGCTATGAGTCGGGGCCGACTCGACGGCACATAACAACAACAACAACAACATCACTAAGGAAGTAGATTGCCCAACCTTCCTAAGGAGGAGCAGCTGGTGGGTTTGAACCACCAGCCTTCTGGTTAGCGGTCAAGTGCCTTAGGCACTATGCTACCAGAGCTCGTAATAATTCCTTAGTATCATCTAGTAGTCTATTTCTGTATTTCCCCAGTTGTCTCAAAAATGCTTTTATATGATTGTTCTTTCAAGTGAAGATCTAACAAGATCTACACATTGTAGAATACTTTTTTAAAGCCAAGTTTTTATATTTTCATTATGAGACTTATGTTACCTTTCTATAGTAAAATATTGACCTTAGAATGAAAACTATATTTGCTTTTTCTTAAGGCAGTTAGTTCTGATGTTATTTATGTTGTATAGTCATCAGTTTAATGATATTCTTTTCTGGACCTGGAAAAAGATTTTGAATTGCTTCAGTCAGAATTCCAGCAGAAAGCATATGGCACCCTTGAATTAGAATAAATTCAGAAGAGTTTAATAAAAGGATTAAACAGCATAGTCAGTACCCTGGAGTTTACAATCTCAAGGCTGTTATCATCTCTAAGCCTGAATAAATCCAGGAATAAGTGCATTTGATGTTTACATTTCAATTCTGTTTTAGTTTAGTGTATGCTTGGAAGTAGTATGGAATGCTACTTGGATGTGGTCAGTATCAATTATACCTTTAACTGTAAAAGAGTCTAATGACTTAAGAAGCATTATTTTTAACATATTATTATGATGCTGTGAATTCTCTGATAAAATAGTCTTTTAAATCAGAAAATTCTTTATTTCCTTAGAGTAGCAATTTCTTGTTTTCAAAACAAATTAATTGTGTTCTGTGACTTTTTTAAATGAATGGAAAAATTAAAAACCTAGAAGAAAATGAAATTACTAGCTCTTGATGGGTAATTTTCTAAGTCTAAAAGGTTTAGAACAAATCAGAAAGGAAAAAATGGATTGTTTTCACTACATAAACATTTTAAACTTCTACATATACAAAAAGAAGTAACCAAAGTTGGGAACTAGTTGTAACAAGTAGAATTAAGAGGAAAACAACAAAATGCCATTTTTAATAGTAAATTGTTGGGGGGATGGGTAACTTGGAACCCTAACCATGAGTAGGAATTGACTTGTTGGTAACTGATCTTTTTTTTTTTTTTTTTTAATTTGATAATAATAATACCTATTGATAGTTCCCCTTCATAGGGAATGAGGACATGGCTTTAGGATAGGAACTGTGCTCCTGTTGCCTGTCATCTGTATCCCACAGGAAGATTAGAAATACTTTCTGTGTCAGTGTTCTCTGCTACTCTGGAGTGGAGGTATTTTCAGAACCTACTCACTGTTATTACTTCAGTGGTATAATGGATAAGGCGTTTGGCTGCTAACCTAAAGGTCGGCGGCTTAGGTTCACCAATTGCTCCATGGGAGGAAGATGAGGCAATCTATTTCTGTAAAGCTTTACAGCCTTGGGAACCCGATGGGAGTTGCTATGAGTTGGAATCCACTCAATGACAGTGGGATATTCACTGTAATTATCGAATATAAAGTGGGACAATTATTGCCAGTTTTTTTTAATATCATTGTTAATGGAGTTAATGAGGAATTAACATACATGTGATTTAAAACATAAGTTTATGATTTCAAACATAAACCAAAGAATAAACTGTTGGTTAGAAGTATCTAAATATGGTTTTCCTTTTTCCAGGACAGATGGGAGTTTTGTGGTTCATGATATACCTTCTGGATCTTACGTAGTGGAAGTTATATCTCCAGCTTACAGGTTTGATCCTGTCCGAGTGGATATCACTTCAAAAGGAAAAATGAGGTGAGGGAGCTTGATCTAATTTTCAGCAAAGGCTAAACTCATGAACACTTCATTATATGTTCCTTTTAGAATTTATAATTCAGATAGAAAAGGTTCTTATTTAAACTACCAATATTCCTTAAAATGTATAAAATATTCTTGTATTATTTTATGCTGAACATTGATAAATTTGAGCATCCTCCTGTTCTGGCTTAAATTTTATTTTAAAACTTTTAATATTATATAAAGAAAAGTTACGTTTACTGTTATAGGAGCAAATACACAGAGCTCTGGTAGCATAGTGGCTAAGACACTTGCCTGCTAACCAGACGGCTGGCGGTTCAAACCCACCAGCCACTCCTCGGAAGGAAGGTTGGGCAATCCTACTTCCGTAGTGATACTGCCTCGGAAACCCAAGGAGGGGTCGCTATGAGTCGGGGCCGACTCGACGGCACTTAACAACAACAACAACAACACTATAAAAGGTATAGTTGAAATGTTATTAAATGCTTTATCAATAACATCATCTCTTCCCCCCATGTCCCACTGTACTAATTAGTTTCTTTTATCCAATAAATGTTGATTGAGCAACTATTATGGCCAAGAGCTGGGTTAAAACCTGAGGACATAAAAGCAGGCTGGACTTAAATGGTTCTTTCCTCAGGGATGCTTAATGTAAAGCAGTTGCAGTAGCATGTAGAGTGCTCTAAGAGACAAAGTATGTTCATAGCCCTTTTTATTAAAGCTAGAAACAAGTTAACTTTTCTAAACTGGAAACACTGTACATCACCTGTTTTTCATTGGTATGTTTTGATAATACCTTTTAGTACCTATTTGATACTACACGATCTAGACATTTCTATAGTTCCTCCTCTTTGTAATGTTTTTTTACTGTGGAAATTTAGGATTTCTGGGGAAAATAGTAGATTCCATATCTCAAAGTTAAAAACACTCACTGCCACCAAGTTGGATCGACTCATAGCGACCCCTCCCTGGGTTTCCAAGGCAGTGTCACTACGGAAGTAGATTGCCCAATCTTCCTTCCGATCTCAAAGTTGGGATCCTGATAATAAGAAGAAAAGCATAGTATTGGAGGCTAGCAGAGTAGGAAAAAGCTCAGAATTGCTAAGTAGATAAAACATGTGGTTTGCAGTTGACGTGAAAAGAACTTTGGACTCTTCAGATTGTGAATATGGAATAGCATAAATCCATCTTAAGGAGAAATTAGTTGAAATGAATTTTCAGGTTCAGCCTTCAATTATAACCCCCAATTTATTTATTTATTTATTTTTTAATTGTCTTTTTTTTTATTATTGTGATTTGGGTGAAAATTTATAGAGCAAATTCACTTTCCATACAGGAGTTCAAATACACTTTGTCTCATGACATTGACTACAATTTACCCCGATGCAACAGCTCCCCTCCCACTTCCTCCCAACAGTCACCGCCTCCCTGTGTCCATCCCTCTATGCATCCCTGCTCCCTAGCTGTCTCCCTGTGCATAAACAGCCCATCTTTCTCCCATGATGGTTCTCTCTAAGGAGTGTATCTACCTCAGGTAAATGTTCAGCTCTTATGCCTGTCTTTTGTTTGGTTTTCTTCATTCTTCTTTGCTCTGGATGAGGAGAGACCCATTGTTGCATCTAGATGGCTGCTTGCAAGCTTTTAAGATCCCAGTGGCTACTCGCCACAGTAGGAAGTGGAATAGTGTTTTGTGTGTAGTATGTTATGCCAATTGAGCTTGACATCCCCTGTGGCTCAATTCCAGACAGGGCAGCTAGGGGCCATAGTCTCAGTGGTTCCACCAGGCTCTATCAAACCAGCAAACCTGGTCCCCCTTTTTTTTTGCCCCCCCTCAGATGATTTTGAGTTCTACATTGTTCTCCTTTCTATCCAGTATCTCCTACATAGATCCCCTTCTGAGTGGTTGACAGTGGTAGCTGGGCACAATCTAGTTCCTTGGGTCTTATAGTCATATAGGCTGCAGATTGCATGGTGTACCAGTTGCTAGGACTAATTCTTTCCATGAATCTTTGGTTTTCTTCATTCTTCTTTGTTCTGGATGAGGAGAGACCCATCATTGCATCTAGATGGGTGCTTGCAAGCTTTTAAGATCCCAGTGGCTACTTGCCAAAGTAGGAGGTAGAGCAATGTTTTGTGTAGTATGTTGTGCCAATTGAGCTTGACGTCCCCTGTGGCTATGGTCCTGAGCTCACAGGTTCAACTATTTGGTCCCTCTGGGTAGCTGGTTGTGACCAAGAAGTGACTACAACCTTGTCCCTTGTCAGCTCTACAAGTCCCAGTCTTGTCTCTGTATGGGACTCTCATACACTGCTGGTGGGGAGATTGAGACTCCCATACACTGCTGGTGGGACTGTAAAATGGTACAACCACTGTAGAAAGCAGTATGGTGATGCCTTAAAAAGTTGGAATTAGAAATACCATTTGACCCAGCCATTACATTACTAGGTATATATCCTAAAGTGAGAGCCATGACAAGAACAGACATATACACACCCACGTTCATCACAGCATTATTTACAATAGCCAAAAGACGAAAACAACCTAGATGTCCATCAACTGAGAAATAGATAACCAAACTCTGGTACATACACACAATGGAATACTATGCAACCCTAAGAATAACCTAGAATCTGCAAAACACCACATAATGTGGATGAATTTGGAGCACATTATGCTGAGTGAAATAAGTCAATCACAGAAGGGCAAATATTATATTAGTTCATTATTGCAAAAGTCAAGGACAGGTTTATCTATGGAAAGAAATCTTTGTTGGTTACAAGGCGGGGAGGGAAGGGAAGGGAACACTGTTAGATAGGTAAAGATAAGTATTGATTAGGGTGAAGAGAAGGGCAATGTACCAAATGCAGGTAATCAACATGGTGGCATTGAGGAAGAGAAAGACGTAGAGAGGTACATGGCAGATGCAGATAACAAAGATGAACCCTTTTGCACATACAGTACTATGTTGTCAGTGAAGGCAAACATGGGTATAGGGGTGGATAGATGGGTGGACAGACAGGTATGTCTATGAAGTGGGGAGTGTACCCAAGACCATGTACAGGGTTGGCAGATAGTGGTCCAATAAGTGTATTTGTATGATCTGAATTCCCAGTCTCTCCACATCCAGTGTTTGTTATTTTGTGTCTTGTTGAACTTTGCTGTTAGTGCTGGGGCAAGATGGTATCTCATTGTTGCTTTGATTTATATCTCTAATTGCTAATGATTGTAAGCGTTTCTTCATGTGTTCATTGGCCATCTGAATATCCTCCTTGGTGAAGTGTCTGTTCATATCTGCTGCCCATTTTTTAATTGGATTATTTATCTTTTTGTTATTGGGGTTTTGGAATTTTCTATAAATTCTAGAGATAAGTCCTTTGTCAGATATGTCATTATCAAATATTTTTTCCCAATCTGTAGATTCTCTTTTGACTCTTGGAGAAGTCTTTGGAAGCATATAAACATTTAATTTTTAGAAGGTCCCATTCATCTAGTTTCGTTTCTGCTGTTTGTGCATTTTGGGTTGGGTTATGCTTGATAGTCTATTTATGCCATATATTAGGGCCCCTAAATCAGCCCTTAGTTTTTCTTGAGGAACTCTATAGTTTTAGGTTTTACATTTAAGTCTTTGATCCATCTGGAGTTAGTTTTTGTGTATGCTGTGAGGTACAGATCTTGTTTCATTTTTCTGCAAATGG